GACAGGTTGTGAGATGCAACTTCCAAGGTAGAAAGACAAGCCGCGTAGGGCTAGTAAAACAGCAGAATGTTGCATTGGAAGAGTATTAATGATTGCAAGTTGGTTTTCTCCAACAGAANAGCAGTGTGGTGACCTCGTATTATGTTTTTTTTCACGTCCATTGAAAGTGAGATATTGACACTTAACTTTATTTGACGACCAAATAGTGCATGAAAATTTAAGAATAAAAATATAAATCTGAAATGAGGAATCAAAGGAAAATTGTTCAGAAATAAAAATAATAATAATATTTTAAACCTAAAACGCTAGACTAATTATATAGCTTTGCACAGTTATGCAGAAGTAGTTATACGTAAATTACACACAGCAACTTAGACTTTAAGATNGTTGCTGTTACAACTTATAATGATACAATTTTATCTGCACTGTTGGGATATGTTATGTGTGTGTACGTTATGATACGGTGTTTAATTGAGAAAAAGAAGAGGGGATAATTCTATAACAAAATATTTTTATAACTGCTTTCCTTCTTTTTGATGTGATTATTTATCGGGACAAAATATTGCATTTTAGTTTTGAGTCGATGTTAATGTTAATATTAGACTAACCAGGTCGAGCGTAATGTGCTTAGCCTTATCTTATTTTACAAATAATTGCAATCATGGTTCATGCCTCGCTATCTTTAAAAATGTGTTTTGTTTCTTAATAACTAATACTAATATACGAGGTTTGTCCCAAAAGTATCGAGCCTACCTTCATATCTCCGCGTCAATACTTCCGAGCAACATCTGTGGCGCATGGGCGTGACCAGTAAGTCTTCACGAACTCGTTGGTGTGCGTAGTTACCGGCTGGACGTGTTAGTTCGTGAACGGCGTGCGTTTGTTTACTGTGTCTTTTATTCGTTCGTCGCATTTTGTTATTGTAAAAAATGACGGAAAAATTAGATCAACGAATTTGCATCAAGTTTTGCTTTAATCTTGGAAAAACTAGCTCGGAAACAATTGATATGCTAAATAAGGCATTTAGAAAGGATTGTATGAGTAAAGCAAGAATAAAAGAGTGGTACAGGCGGTTTAAAGACGGCCGCACGTCAGTTGACAGTGATTCTCGTTCTGGCCGACCTTCGAGCGCAATAACACCAAAAAATGTCGAGCGTGTGCGACTTGCGATTGAAGAAGATCGTCGGTTGACTGTACGCGAACTAGAAAGTGATCTTGGAATACCAAAAACTACTGTTTGGAGAATTTTAACCGAGAATTTGGCAATGGCTCGAGTGTGTGCGAAATTCATCCCAAAGTTGCTAATGGCAGAGCAGAAGAATCTTTGCTTTGAAATTGCTCAGGACAACTTGGAAATGATTTCTAATGATGAAAATGTGCTGAAGAAGATTATTACTGGTGATGAATCATGGGTTTACGGCTATGATCCAGAAACAAAGCGACAGTCTTCACAGTGGAAGCATGCATCCTCGCCACGACCGAAAAAAGCACGTCAAAGTCGGAGCAAAGTGAAGACAATGTTGACTGTTTTCTTTGATTATGAAGGTGTTGTGCACCATGAATATGCTCCGAGAGGTCAAACGATCACTAAAGAATACTACGTTGAAGTATTGAAAAGATTGCATGACGCAGTCAGAAGAAAACGACCACAGCTTTGGACAAGCGGTGATTGGCTGCTTCACCACGACAATGCGCCAGCGCATTCATCGAACCTTG